TATGATGAGTGGTGTATGATGAGTGGTGTATGATGAGTGGTGTATGAAAAGTGGTGTATGATGAGTGGTGTATGCAGAGTGGTGCATGATGAGTGGTGTATGATGAGTGGTGTTTGATGAGTGGTGTATGATGAGTGGTGGTTGAACAGCTGTTGAATGTCCGTAACACGGAAGTTTTGCACACTAAACTTCCTTTGACTAATTATACATACACATATATATATATATTGTATGCTTCTTTGATGAATCATTCTAGGACCTTCTTTCAACCACATTCAACCCTGTGGTTTACCCTCCTCTAAACAAACATCGCATCCAAACTGCTAGACTGCTTTCTGCTACTGGATGAACTCTTTTTCAAAGCATCAAAAACACCAGAACCTTTCAAACCACCGCATTTCTTGAAGCCCACCAGGTTTTGGATCCTGAAGCCCTGGACCCACACCCGGCAGCCCCAGGTATGCGGCGCTTGAAAAACAGTCCCAGCGTCCAAGTTGTTGCAAGGCATTTGCACGTTGTCCGCGAACTGCTTCGGCAACAGGTCGATGACCTTCCGAGGTCCCTTGGCCACCTCACCAGTGGCAGCGCCCGCCTGCACGAGAAGAAGGGGAGTGGAGCCCACCAGAAGCTGCGAAGACGTAAAACAGTAGAGCTCCGACTGGTATTTTGTGGGCTGGGCAGCTAGCCCCCAGCCGCCGCAAGGGCCACTTGCTGGAGACAAAGGTTTGGATCCGTTTCCTATCCTTTCTTGAACCTTTCAGAAGACCAGTTCGCCGCCTTCGCCCTCCTCCGCGCTCCACCCCCCACCTCGCCGGGCACGGTGAGGGAGACCCAGTCGCCGGGCACGGGCACCTCCTTGATGCCACTCACCGAGGCGTCTACCCCGTCGATGTTCATCTGCACCACCTTGTCACCTGGATGCACGAGGGGTTGGGGTGGGGAATGGAATGGGAAAGCAATGGAGGTGGATATACACCCGGGAAGAGACCCCACATGCACCTGATGGCACGGACCTTCCTTGATACCCCAGTGGTGGGCGTAGAAACGAAGGGTCCATGGAGACTGAGGTGGTCAGGCCCTTGCTGAAGGTGAAGAAGCCAAGCATTCGAATGCAACTGCGGAAGCTTCTTGAGAGGAAAGCCATGTGGAAAAAGGGCTGCCCGGTCTGTAACAAAAGGATCAGTTGCTGGTCTGACTTACTCTGATGTCTGTCAGTGAAGCACACTGCCTGCCTTTCTTGCCATACATCTTCTTGATGCTCTTCTTCAGCATTTCAATGGCTTCCTCAAATGGCATGACCTCAGAGCAGTTTCAGCTTGCGGACAGAAGTCAGTCAAGCGGCTCAGGCTGCCCGACCCGGCTTCCACCGCGCGGACCGGCAACTGCCCTTTTTCTGCGTCGACACTACATCTCCTGGGATCGAACAAATACCGTTGTTTTAATGGTCTTTGCGAAAGAACCCTTGTTTTTCTGAGGATTTTTACACCACACCACCAGGTCAACCACTACTTTAATATGGTCTTTGAAGGCTAGGGTCTCTATAGACTCTATAGAAGTATCATGAATGAAGTAATTATCTGTCGTATTTTCCTTGCAGAAACCACGAGAATCACCACATTGCCCGGCTTTGATGGTGGCTTCTGGGCTTTCATGGCTGCCCTGCTTGTGGCGAAATCGCCTCGTGAAGGCTTCGTGTGTTGAGGGTAGGGTTGGGTCATCCGACGTCCATGGTTTTTTTGCAACATCAAAGCCTCCCTCCCGAAAAAGGGGCCATCCGCACTAAGGCAGAGATGACACATCGAAAGGCCTCCAGGTCGTCTTTCAAACCGTCAGCAACGGGCAATCACGAACGTGGCCCTGGCGGAATCTAAAATAATCCTGCCCAAAATCTACCTTTGACCCCGAACCGGATACCGAAGTGACTCGGTTGCAGAGAAAGTGCTCAAAAGTCTGGATCCCCTTTCCAATTGAGATCACCAATCACCCAATGAGCCCCCAGAAATGCTGGCAAATGCCCTGCACTCCACTTCCGGTCCTTCCGGTCATCTCCAAGCTACACCACTGAGCTTGAAGAAGACGCTCTGCATGATCATGTTGATGCGCTTGCCCAGTCCCGCCTCAAAACCGACCGGAGGGACGGGGGGGGGTCCCTCCGAACGGTGGGCGGAACGCTCAGCGTGTGGCTGAACGGTGCTCAGCGTGTGCTACAACGGTGGGTTGGAAATAGGTCTTGTCATGTTTTTCTTTTTTTTCTGAGATACCCTGAAAGCTGCAGGAGACCGGGTTCTTGCTGAGCAACAATGATTCCAGGGTCAAACGTCCTGGAAGATGTTCATGTAACAATTATTTCAGGAAACTTCAACGTTTTAACAGGTATTCCAGGTATGCCTTGACCTCTGTTGTCTTGAAATGTCCTGAACGTCCAAAGGCTTGTGAAAAGCAGTGCAGCTGCCTTTTGTATACCAACAGGTATGGGTATACCCCAGAATATTTAACTAAGGCACCCCCATGTTATTGTTTTACTATTTTTTGGAGGGGGGTGGAGTTCCAGTTCCAGTAACACTACGTGTGTGCCAGTGCTACTATCATCGCTACTCTTTCAGTCAAACAGCGACCGCATGTTCCTGCCGCTAAAATGAAGGGATCAGCACAAGAACGGATAGAAACGTCCACGGCTGTGGTCTAGCTTCAACGTGCCAGGCACCAAATGGTACCAAATGGTACCAAGCACCTGACCCTTCGTTCTTTGATCTCCTAGCATCTGCATCTGTGATCTCCGTCTCTCTGCATCTGTTTCGTCATCAAAAACTGCGCCGTCTGTTTTTCCGTGTCGCTCGAAACCGTGTTCAGTGTTGGGTCGCTGAGTGTACAGAGTGGAACCAGAGTAACTGAAACGACCAAAAAGTACTCACGGAGTGGAAGTGCTCTTCATGTTTCGATGCATCACCGATCATGAGGTTTTGTGCATAAAACCTGAGGATTTGTGGAAAAACAGCCAAAGATCAACACATGAAGCTTGGCCCAAAACCACAGTAGATGTTTGCCACGAACAAAACTGAATGGAAGACAAGACAACTGCTGTTTTCATCTATTCATGTGTATCATGGCCACTCTCGGTTTTTCTCGTCGCATCCACTGAAATCGCGCCTTGACTGCAATCTGTGTCGCATCGATGATGTACAACTTCGCCTGACCATCGTCGCGAACGAACGTAACCCAGGGCGGTGGACGTCTTGGTCTCCAACCGTACGCAGGGTACCCGAATGCGCTCTACACTTCCGACACTTCTGACAGATTCTGATTGCGAAAACGGATTCGGACGGATGGAAAGTCTTCCGAGTCGTTCGTGATCAGATTTGGCCGAACCAACACGTGTTCCAAAGTCGAACTCCGCAACACTTCACTCACTGCAGGCACCGGACTCGCCAACCCCCACGCGAGTGGTACGCGAAGAGAACTCCCGCGCCTTCTTCACCGCCAAGTCCCGACGCATCTTGGGAGGCAATTTGTCCTTGAGCTCATCCACCGACCAGGAGCAATTGATCACACAGACGCCATTGGGCTTCATGTACCGGGTCATGTCCTGAGAACGTCCCGTTGGGCTTGAGAAACGTCCCGCGATGCCCGTTGAGGAAACAACCACTCCGATGGAACGTTTGGAAACCACAGAGAGCCATCATGAGAAAACCATCTCCGGAGCAGGTCCCTTTTTTTTGGTCGGAGAGTCTTGTCCACCCACCTCACACCAGCAAGCACATGGATGAACATGAGGACGTCTACACCAGGTGGTTGCCAGAAGCATTGGAAGACCGCACTTCGGAGACTGTGACCGCACTTCTGGGACCGCTGGCACATGTGTTCGGTCGGTTCCGACCTGGAACGAGGTGTGGTTTTGTGGGACGAACTCCTCCACCCACCATCAGATGGCAGGACACATCTCAGGATATCTCGAGATTTGGCTCAACAGTCTGCCTCTACATTTCATGTCACCCCTATTGAGGCTTGGGCCTAGGAGGTCTACAGTCAATCCACATGTTCCTGGCTTGATTCAAGTACTTGCAGAGCAGGGTCAACGGAGCCAGCATCCCATGGTTCCCCTCCACCCTTCCCTGGCACTGCCCAAATCAAAAAAGCAATCTTCACTCCCACCCCGACCAGCGACGTAGTTGGACACATAGCTGGGCTTGTGCACGGCCAGGTAGTCCGCAGCTCGCACATTGTACCTCCCGTGGAGTTGGGCAAGTGGCAACTGGCATGGAGTTGGGCTTGTCAAGCCATTCATATATATATATATATATACCCTATATACTTTCTTAAAAGTTCCCCTAGTACAAAAGCAAGGCACATAAGATCATATAAGCACTAGGACTCTGGGCTCCACCAAGGCCTATTGCCCGGGAAATGATGTCCAAATTGGACACCAAGCAGCCCCACTTCTCCTTGTTCAGTGACCCGTTTCACGGCGCACGGTGCATGGATGGGCTTCGGCCCAAAGCGCAGGTGGCTGATCGTCACGCCGCCGCTCTTCTTGGCATCGTACTCGAAGTAGGCCTCGCAGTCCGAGTCCGCCCGCCGCCGGCGCGGTCCGGAGAGCCGCCGGAGCGGTCGGCGTCGGCCGGGCGTCTGACGGGGCCGGGCCCCGGTCCCCGGTCCCGGCTCGTGTCAGGTTTCACACTCAGCTGTGAGCGAGCGCCAGGGTGAAGAAACTTCCCTTGGGGATGGCCATCCACCGGCAAGATCCGACTCAAGTCGACTCATGACCGTCCCTATCATTTGGACGGAGTAGCTTGAAGGTTGATTGGGGAAGTTCACGACATCCGCATCCCATCTCCTTCCAACCTTCGCGGCCCCGGAAACGGGTATAGTTGCAATGGAACTCCGGCTTCAAAAACCTGCTCTGGAACTTCCAGTCCTTCCAAAGCCGGAATCTGCCAGGTCTTCACTCTTAAACCACCATGCTTCCAGTCGAATCACTCAATCCAGGTCCTAGTGACTCAATCCTCCAGGCTTGTTCCCTTTTGCCCCTCACCGAAGAACACAAAAACCACCGCGAAGGTCGGACCTCCCTTGTTCCAGGTCTGGTCTCATCCAATGGAAACCCATAGATAGCCCAAATAATTGCAAAATACAAAAACTCCAACTCACAGCAGTTCGAGACAGTTGTGATAGTTCGATACAGACAGCCTGTCATCATATGTCATCATACGCTCCTGGAAGATTAACATGGAACCTGAAAACCACTGGTTTGTGGAGGAAGTGAGTCTTCAAAAGTGCATGTTCAGGTTCCGTGTTCATCTTCCCAGGTGGGGCCACTATTCGTGCGGCCACGGCCTGCGCGTACAACTCGGTGCCCATGGCAATCATCTTCACCGCACTCTTGTTGGCGCCCACGGTGCCATCGGAGCCCAAGCCGTAGAACATGCACTCAGTGGTGCCTCAAACATCGGCAGAAGGGTCCCATGTTTTGAACTGAGCATGGTCAGTTCGCCGCGTTCGCCTAGCGTCAAGCCATCGAATCAAGTTTTCCGAAGCGGTTCACCCAACAACCCCTCCCCCCACACTTCACAGTCTCTGCTGCCGGGTCCACTGCCCACCTTGTGGCAGGACGTTGAGCCACTCGCCGACCGGCAAGGAGAGGTGCGTGACGTCATCCACGATGCCCACCGTGAAGCGCGGCTTCGGGGTCTCCTGTCTCGCCGGTGTGACGTCCGGAGGGCGAGTCGATGAGGGTCGAGTTGATGAGGCTGTAGTCTCGTTTCAAGAACGACTCTATTGGGTCAGCAGCCACTACTGATTTTCTACTGCTAGAAGCACATGGTATAAAAAAAGAACCCCCAGGCCTTCGAGTTGATCCATGAACATCGTGAGACTGAAACAACAAGCACTTTAGAAGCAAGCTGCTCATCCCCCGCAATTCATCCCCAATTCCAAGTCCAGTCGCGAGCAAGCGGAAGGTGCCTTCTTCAAGTTCTCATAGATGGAGAGCACCATGTTCGGAGTAAACTCTTTGGAACCCAATCCATATCGGCCTGACACCACAATTGCAATGAGACCAGACCAGTTGAGACTCCAAATGACAATGGAAATGGAAAATGATAAGCAGGAAGCTTTTGAACATGGAGTCATTGAGTTGCAAGTAATTGAGAACTAGTCGTAGCAATTAGGGGCGATGTCTTCAGAAGCCACCAAAAAGACCCGATGTCTTTTTCTCCATCAGGCTCAGGGCTGTAGAAAGAATAACTGATTTATCAGTGATTGATCCAAACGTGGGCTGTTGGTCACCCGCCAGCACTTCAGCCCACCATCTCCCATGACCATGGGACTCCAAATGGGTCATCGACGGGGAGACCGCGCCTCCAATGCAGACGATCTCTGCCCGGCCCATGGCCTTCAACGTGGTGGACACTTCCAGGAAGAGAGGCTCCCCCTGCGAGCCCTGCTCCTGGCGAATGAGAGGCTCTCACCGGGTGTTCCAAGAGGAGAATGAGAACTTCAGAACAAACGTCAAAGGTTACAAAATGGGACGCCTGCTAAAAGCCCGACGATTCAGTTTGGAGACCGTTTCTCCAGAATGTAGGCAACAGGACAAGCCAAACATCGGCTGGAACCAGCATTGCCTGTTCAGCGGAAGAGGCCCTCCCTACTCCCTACCCGCACCTGAAAGTCCAGGTATGTGGCCTTCCGTTCCCTTTCGGAGATCGTTTTGAAAGAACCAGAAAGTGACAACCCTCTTTACTCTCGCTCGCTGTTCCCCACACCCATTGCAAAGCTCTCTCACTGGCCGCCCACTTCTGGCCAAAGGGAGGACGCGCCGCGCCGAACACCGCCGCGCCGCGCTTATCCGCCACGAGAACTGTCCTTGGTGCGGTCCAGCACGCAGATGCGCTTGCACGTCTTCGGCAGCGCCGCCATGAAGCGGTTGGCGTCCCATGGGCGGAACAAGCGGACCTTCAAGACGCCCACCTGGCCAGGGCTGTGGAGCTGCACGACACGGCGAAAAAAGGGCGCGACAGGAAGCGATAGGAAGCGACAGGATGATGGAGGAAGGTAATGGTTCTTACTATGTTTCACTATATACTGAATTTCAAAGGGGTTGCGGACATGTTATTTTGTTCACTGAGGGTGGTCCAAACTCTGTGGAAAGAGCGTATATTATATGAAAAACTATAGAATCCAATAGAATCCAATGTCATCCATGTACCCTTACCCCCCTCAGTTTCACTGGAAAATAAAGGTTATCCACCTGTTCTAGTTTAGGTGGAGAAACCAATTCCAAAAAGTGTTGCGGGTTTTCCACTGGGTAGGTCAGCTGGGCATCTGAACCTTCACCCTCCACATCTCCCACCCAAAACACCGCGCCCGAAGACCCTCAGCTCCACCCACCCCTAGCCCTCTGACAGGCGACCTTCTCACCCTTCTCCTGCAGGTACGTGGCCGTCTCGCTGCAGGTCACTGCGCCACTGCCCATCACCACGATCACGTACTCTGCATCCTTGTGTCCTGCCCCGGTGTCCAACGCACGGAGCGACCGGCACGAAGGACGGCACGTCGGCCCGCGGCCGCTTCGCGCCGTCCGGACCTGAACGGTGGAACGACCTGAACGGCGAGCGGGGTGAGGAGGACGAAGTGGGTCACACAGAACGGACCGCCATGCAATCCAAGCAGTTCTTCCACAGATGTGGCGACCCCAAAGCAACGAGCTCTGGTGAAGAAGCGATCCGAACGGCTGAGTTTCGCGGCAGCGATGACGGCGTCGATGTGAACATGACGTGACCTCTCGTGTGAACATGCCGTGGAAAAGGACACTGTGGATCAACCGCAGCGCGCCTTCATAGGCATAGAGGGCATAGTGAACTCCCGTCTTCTGCTCCACCAGCCTTTGAAAGGCGGAGCCAATCCAGAGGTGGCTGGGTTAAGTGGATGAGCCCGCTAACAACACTCCCCGAACCAGTATGGGAAGGGGTTCTTAACGGAGGGTTTCCTGAATCCCGACCTCATCTAGTGTGAGCCGTCGGCTCTGAACCTCCCTCCTGCACGGAGTCTGCAGAGTGGAGGTAGACAGGGAGCTAACTGTCTGAGGGGCATTTCTATATGGTCCATGAATGGCCACGACCAACATGACTAGCGGCGTCCGCTCACTGCCCACGCTCGGACCGTCCGTCCGGCGGTCCGAACACGAGGGTGAAGTCCATCCATATCCACACTCATCTGACTGCCTGGAACCCCAGTCCCAGCCATTTCCTATGTCCTATGTAACGGATTTCAAGCTGGCACCATAATGGAACAGCCATTTGCTTCGGGTTGTTTGGGGTTCCAGGTGGTGCTTAGTAAGGAATGAGATGGAATGCGCTCCCCACCCTCATTCTTCCCTTCGAAGCACCACTCAGTCAGTTAGGATTTCCATGGATGTCCTGTTTTTCCCAAAGATGCTTCTCACCTCCAGTTGGGATCTAAGCACTTGATGGGCCGGAACCCACTCTGCCGCGACGCTTGGACTTGGCTTCGAAGAGGTCTGCCAAGCCGTCATAGAAAGTGTTCCCGGCCTCACACGCAGGGGAAACGCCCACATCAACGCGTGTCGGGTCAGTGTTTACTGAGTAACTCCCTTCAATCAAAGATGAAGCAAGAAAACACAAAGCAAGACGCGCCGCGTCCCCCGCGCCTCGACGCATTGGAAGAAGATGTCCGGTCCCTGAGAGGTGCCCTGCACGTGGGGGTGGCGAGGATTCATCGCCAGGTCGTGGTGCTCCTTCACGGCATCCCAGTTGATGAGCCTCAAAACGGCTTTTTCGGTGCCTGGTCATCCCACCTCCCCATGTTCAGCTTGCTCCTCGTCCAAGTCACTGCTTCATGGTGTTGTAATCGATCAACTTCACCTTGTTCACCTGCAAGCAGGGCCAAGAGAGATGCAGCAAAAGCCGCGCGAAAGGACTCTCATTGACTCAAAGTATGATGGGTATTCCGGAAGCAAAGGGAATGAAACGACATTGCCAAATGAGTCTCTGAAGATCAAAACAATAAATTCACTGCAGGCAGTTGTCCTGGAAAGAATCATGAAACAACTGATCTGAATAGATGGCACTGGCACCCAGTTCGAAACAAAACCACGCACTGGCCGGGTTTTCTTAGAATCTACTAAACCACAAGAAGCCCTGCACCCTTCCCCCTCCACAACACCCCCTAGAACCACCTAAGAACCCCGCCCATCCACCGTTCCAAAAACAACGCACCTCGTGGCTGGTGCGAAAGCCATCGAAGAAGTGCTGCACGGGGACACGGCGTTCCATGGAGACCAAATGCGCCACCAGCGCGTTGTACTGCACCATCTCCACGCTCTCCGACGCCAGCATCGCCCTAACGACAGGCGGCTGTGACACACTTCACGGAGCGCGGGAACTGGCGTGGCTGTGGCAATTCTTTCAAATCCATCCAAATCCTTCCAAATCCAGTGACTAAAAAAGAAAAAAGAAACCACCTGATCATCTGATCCCGTCTTCTTGCCACCAAAATCCAGGATCCCCCCCAAAGGCGCTGCATTTGACCTGGAGTACCCACGTGGTACCCACCCAGACCCGTCTTCACCAAGGCGCCATCCGGTGGAACGGCAAGCCATGACGTCCTGATGGTCTCCGAAGATGGACAAGGCCTGCCCGGCCAAGGCGCGGGCGGCCACGTGCATCACCTGGAGGCACCGCGGCTCGGCTCGGCTCGGTTCGGGCGACCGAAGGCCGGAGGGTGGAGATCTGGGACCTGGGCACCGGACGGAGGATGTCGTTTTTTTGGGTAGGTCCGAGGTGTGGGGGCGCTCTGTCGAGGTCGCATCTGGGACCTGGTTTCTTTTGGGAGTGGTTCTTTGGGTGGAGATGTTTCAGTCCAACGGGACGTACCAGCTAAGAGGGCGCTGCTAGTTGGACCTGAGGAGCAGGTGCAAGAATCCTCCAAGAAAGTCCAACCCTCCAGCTGCTGGGGGGGCACTGGTCATAAAAATGCACCCGGCATGTCCTGTGTTCAACTAGTTTGGCCGCCGGCTCGGCCTGACTGCTTCCGCTTTCGTGCGGTAAACAAGAATTCCTTCTCCCCCTCAAAAAGGAGGGATTGTGGGGAGCCTTCAACCAACATTATGACTGAGATGATTCGATAGACATGAGAGCCTCCATGATCACTTCCACCCTACCACCAGGTGTGACCAGACATGACGTGTGCAGATTGATGTGAAGATATCGTCCTTTTACTAGGTGAAGACACTGTTTCTCCTTTCAGGGTCCAAGTGCCTGAGGATGGTTCTGGACCTACACCCCTCCAAATTCCGGCAGCTCGACAAGCCTTCGTTGGCGCATGTTGGGGCTCCGGACACATGGCAACAGCTCGCCGGCAATCTTGTACATGTTGGGAATCATCAACAGCAGTCCTTGACCTCAAACACATTCACAAGCTGAGCGACGAGCTGTGAATCCACGTTGCACGGCAGCAACTCCGCCCATCCCTCCACCCATCGCAGACACGCACACCTTCTCGCTTGCAACAAAGCAGCTGGCAGTGAAGGTGGTCGAGAAGGCACCGGCCTTCAAAGCCCCGTGCAAGGCGCCGGCAGCGCCCGCCTCGCTCTGCATCTCGGTGACACTCAGCTTCTGGCCGTAGCAGTTGATGAGCCCTGCGGCCCAGGTCGGTACGTGGCGGAGCGTGGCGGTCATGGGCGGTCCGTCCTTCTTCGGACGTCCCAAGGTCCAAGCAACGTGGAGTTGGACAGGTTCGACAGGTTCCACACTCAAATGGGTGTGGATGTCTACCCTGGGAGTCAAAGACTATAAAAAGAATGGTCTTTAGGTGACACGAAGAGGAATGTCCTTTAACTCCAGTCAAAAATATCGTCTTTGGACTTCTATAGGGTATAAGGAGATCCCAATCTCGCCCCTAACCGGGTAGACTCCTGTCCTTCGTCCGAGTCGGGAACGGGACGCCTGGGGAGGTCTTCCTATCTCGACGCGTCGTCCTCACGTCTTCATGTCTCGCAAACACGTCTGGTCCCACCTTGAGCAGCCCACTCATCAACCATCTCGCCCATGGGCGAGCTGGGGGTGATGGGATAAATGAAGGCGCAGTCACTGAGGGCATAGGCCACATGCGCTGCCGCCTGACAAAGGGGAATCCCGGATGAAAGTCTGGGAAGATGTAGTGATTTTGGATCTGAATCAATAAACAATAAATACAAATAAATACTCTATGTGGTTGCATTGGAAATCCAACTTCACTCCACCTGGAAACGCGCCAATTTCACTATAATGTAGACTCTTGATTAGTAATACCCCCCCTCTAACAATTGAGACTACTGATTAATAATTGAAAAACAAAAAAAAGGAAATATCAATATTAGTTGAAAGAAGATCAATATTTGCTAAAACAAAATAGAGAATAAAAATTGAGAACAGTATAAAAATAAGAACACGGATGTAGACATTAATCCGGGGAGGATTTTTTAATCGGCGGTCTACAGTATATTTCCTGTGTCTACCTCTCGCATCGGACGGTCAGAGAGCATCGGCATAGGGGGCGGTATATATACATATATGCACCTTTACAGTTATGCGGCACATGCTGCCATATAGGTTGTCCCGACCTGGTTGCCATCGATGCAGGCAATGGACTTCTCAGTGGGCTGGATCACATCGGTATCCGCGCACCTGAGAACCACGAGTCTCACCACCAAGTGGGCAGGTGAGCCGAGGTGAGCTTTAGCTGAGAGACCCCCTCGGCCGCGGCAAAACGACACCGGGGGTCATCAATGAAAGCCCCTACACTACTGATGGATCTCCATTGGGAACCCCTTGGAAGGTCCTGGTAGATTACGACGTTGCCCTTCTTGCGGAGGTGGAAGCTTGCCCTTGTCAGGTAGGGGAGGAGCTTTGGACCGCGGCCATGGTCCATCCGTTCACACCTAAGGACTGAGCTCCCCGATTCGTGGCTTTTGAGCGTTCTGGGTCGCTCCGAGCGGTCCCTTCTGCCCACAGATTCACTGATTCCGGCGTTCCCCCATGCTGGGTGCACCCTGAGAAGAGAAAGAGGTGAAGACAACCATTCTGGCCAATGCAAAGCCCAATCCCTCTTCATTCCAGGCAGCCCTCTTTCGCTCATTCCGCAGTTGGCATTTCTCATCAGTTTGCTTGTCTGTGTTCACTCGGCTCGCGCCCGAACCCCGCGTGCTGGCGCGGCGGCGCCAGGAACCGCTCAACCGCAACAAAAGCTGCACCGCAAGATGTTTCACTGGGGTTCCCGAAAACCACCAGCTGCACGGCAAACCAACCACCAACCCAGCTCCACCAACCACCTGCACCGCAAAAAACTCGGTTCCCGAACTGATGGACGATGGTCTTGTTCTCAGCCTGAAACATCGCTCGCTGCACCTGCGGTGACACTGGAGGCATCGGTGCGGGTGGAGACATCGAAGCCGACGCGCGAGACGGTGGATGAAGACCTCACTCTTGAAGTACGCAACACATACGAGTCAGGTCGCCTTGAGACTCTAATCTGGAATGATGGTTTGTAGGGATTTTGCAAAAAGGATTATATACTGCTATTTTGCTGGGATTTGGATTGATGCAAGCAGTACGTTGGTCAGAACTATCCCATTGTCAGAACCTGAAGTACATGCCACTGGATAGTGATGTACTCAATAGTACCTGCAAATAGGATTGCTTTTGAAGGAAAACTTTGCAGCCACGACAAGCCGTATTTGTGACCATTGTGCAGTATTGAAAGATTTATGATGCTTTATGTTATATCTACTTTATACTGTAGCAAAAATCTAGACTCTAGGCTCTAAACAATCATCTGCAACTTGTGATCGCTCAATGGGCATATACAAGAAAATGTACCCAAAAATCCAAAACATCCCTAAGCAACAAAAGCAGCAGGCAGCCTTTTGTCGTATTGCTTTGAGAGATGCATGGGTCCTCCCCAGACCCCATCCTTGAATTTAAAGTCACCTTGTGACCGTTCCACGTTTAAATCAAGGGTGTGGCAGGCAGTTTCACTCACCCGCTCAGGCCTGACACACCCTATGCCCCTGGGCTCCGTCCAGGGCCAGTGGCGCCTGTCAGGAGACCAAGGGGCCCGGGGTCAGGAGGACTCCCACCAGATCCGGTCACGGGATCTTGGGTGGGACGCTAGGAGAAGTTCGTACTCGACAAAAGGCGAGTCGCGAATGGAAAAGAGAACAAATCATTCGGAGCCGGTAGCCGTAGTCGGACTCTGCCCAGTGAAGTACCTTGTTGAGCAATCAGGTGTTTGCACAGAAGCAGGGTGCCCAACAGCTCAAGTGCCGCGATTCGCTTCTGAGGGTTGCCATCTTTGAAAGCCCATGGATGATCGGCAGGTTTGATCTGGTAGTGGCACCAGAAAACTTCCGCCTGGAGGGGTGGGGATCCTCGCTGCACCAGCCCCCCACATGGGCGTCGCCTTGGGCCGAAGCGCTAGCGTCACTGCATCCCCACCAGGGAGACTTTGGAGGGGAGCACTGCTCAAAAGGAAGGGGTGAAGAGCTCCTGCAGGAGAAAGGCCAACATGCGGACAACCTTGGGTGGATGTCCCATCGTTTGTACGGCCGTCTTCCACGCCCAGAAGGGTTGCAGCAAGGACTTGGTTAGTGGGCAACAGGCTGTGGCCCACTGGATACGGCCCATGGCTTTCTCGTGGCATTGGCCGACATAGCCACCTCGTTGATCAAGTCCTCCAAGACAGCCGCGACCTTGATGTGCTTGGGGGCTGCCCTCAACGGCGTTCCCAGTGCGAGCAAAGTGCCGAGGAGCGCCGTGGTGAAGGCGATGTAATAGAGGAGTCGCAGCAAGAGGGCCGCCATCCTACCCCAGTAGAGCTGGGCACTGGCCATGCCGTAGGTGCCCACTTTGTTGACCCACCATTCAACCTCAAGTTGGGCGATCTGGGATGCGACGGTGTGCCTTCACTGCCAGGCAGGCGTCCTCAGTGGATCACCCCCCACTGGAGCGCCAGAAGCACCTGGACCAGATGGGGGGGCGGTCAGGTGCCTGTAGCCTTTGTGCTGCATGAAGCCAGTGAAGGGCATGGACACAGTCCAGGACTGTGGGTGCAGTGGTCCGTTCCTTAGTATTCTGTTGGATCTTGGAATTCGCTCCCCCGATCGAGCCATCATAGATGGTGCGGACCTTGTCCCCTTCATCAATCCCTGCAAGAGGACCAGGGCAGAGTTCTGATGGGGAGGTAGTTTTGGCGACCCCTTTGGATCATCCAGTGAGGCTTCCACTGGATCTTCCCCTCGAGCATGGGGGCAGTCTCTGCCACTGCCACAGGCGCATCAGCCACCGAGGCCTCGTCAGCTGCAGTGTCTGGCATTGGGACGTCCGTGCCCTTGTTGGCGTCCTCGATGTTTTGGAATTGCACCCGGAGGTCATCCATGTGCCGAGTGAGGTCCCGGATCTGGGCTTGCATGTCAAGGTCCTCCACAATGACCGGCTTGCCAAAAACGGAGAGGCCAGCAGCGGCCTCGTCCTCGGCATGGCGGAGCGCGGTGGATGCAACGTCCGCCTCCTGGTTGAGTCGATCCATGTCAGGGCTACTGACGGTAGCCGCGTCCTCAGCCCCATCGGCTGGTTGAGCTTCAGTGAAAGTCTCAAGCATCATGTACTCGGATTCCAAAGGATGTGCCATAGCGGTGCGCGTCAAGAACGAAAAACCTAAGGATCACGAGTGTCACAAAATCACCGTTGGCAACTCCAACGAGGTTGCCACCCAACTTGAGCCAAAATGTCCCAGTGGGACATTTTAGTGAATTTTCGTGAACATAAAACTTGCAACCGCAAGCTCAATGCAAGTGTGAATAAATACATGCACCTTATAGCCAAAATGCAAATACAAGCCATCTACCACCCAGAACCTCAATGCCCCCAAAAGTTCCTCACGTGATACCCGCAAATCCCCACCCTACCAGACCCGGAAAGCTCGCAGTCTTGGCAGCGTGGCACCTCCTTGGCTTTCAAGAACTGCTCATACTCCACGTCTGCTGCACCGGTGCCCGCACCCAAGGGTTGGAGCCGCTCAGGGGCTTCCGACTGGCGGTCTGGGTGCAGGAAGGCATGCAGCAAACCGCCGTAGGGGCCAAAGGGAGTCGTCCTCAGGCGGTGGGTGGGGTCGAGACGAGGTCGAAAGAAGAATTTGGAGTTGCTTGGCCAAGAAGAATCGAAGAGATTCGACTAGATACAAAAGGATTGTCCAAGTGACTGTCCTTACCAGTTGGAAAAGTGAAAATGTAATCCATCCAAGGGCAAATTAACAGCCTAGCTATGCCTAGCTACACCACTCGATTTATTTTGTGTATGCATCTTCTTTTGCCAGATGCTAGGTGTCTAACCTTAAGTCACTGCTTAAGTCAGCACAGCAAGAACAGCAACCACAAGACCACATTGCCCCTCAAAAGAAGCGGTACTAGTACAACCCGGTACACTTTCAAACGTCGGCTGCACCTAAGGCATCGGCTGCCCACGGATCGCCATCACAGATCAATGATCGATCGATGTCGCACACGGGCGTCGTCCGCTTGTTCGCTGCGTTGAACAACGCGGTAGTTCGTCAAAATGCTGAAATTTGAGCCACAATGTCGCGGAGAAACTGTCACAATCACCAGGCTTTGACTTGGGAGGACTCCTTGCCGCCCTACTGGCACAGGTGGAGAAAAGGGTCTTGCATAGACTCTTGGATCAATCCCACGTAAGTGTATCCACGCATCGGTGCCATGCTCTCAGCAGGTGACGCTTTTTCGTCTTCGCTCGAATGAGGGCCACGATCTGGCACGATCTGGGCTTTCGTCATGGACAAAAATTAATCACGGTCTTGGCGAACCCATAAGTCGGTAAAGCCAAACATCAACATTCAATAACCTCATAGTTATGACTTGTGGATCAAGCGCTTGCGTATTTCGCATTATTTCGCTATTAGGTTGGAGGCCATTGCTGTTAGGGTGGAGGCCATGGCTCTTTGGTTGGAGGCCATTGCTTCTAGGTTGGAGGCCATCGCTATTAGGACCCTAAAGCTTTCCCTTGTTTCGATATGTTTCGATTGCGAATGGGCGCCACCGTTCACGATGCGACAAATCCCAAACCAGCCACCCAGTCACCTCAGGGCCTTGGCCAGAGTTCCGCTGGGTGCGCTGGGACGAAAAACGCACCGCGTTCAGGGCCGAGGCGCCGCTGCACAAGACCTGGGTCAGTGGCCGTTGAAGGGGAATAGCTGCCGAGTGCCCTTGGAAAAGGCGGACGTTGGGCAAGTGAATCCATCGGGATCCAAAGCCAGAGACCACTTGAAGAAGTCCTTGTTTTTGAAGCAAATGTGGCCACACGGCGATCCCAAAACAGAACAGTATATAGGTGTGGAAGCATGAAAACCCCTAGCTGCTCAAGGCCGAAAATTGGAAACATTAGATTCACGAATCTCGAGGTCTTTGATGGGTCAAAAAAGCATAATCCCTAAGACCCCCGCAACCCAACCCAACGTCACCCGGAGCCCCCAACGATCTCTCCGGGGTGCACAACCTGGGGTCCCGGGCGTCTTGGCAGCACCGCAGCCACGGTCCGAAACGAGTTTTGAAGCGAGTCTATACTCGGCGGCAAGCTGGTGTTGCCCGGCCCGAGGAGGAGAGCCCCGGCCCAACTGCCAAGGAAGGAAGATGCGAAGGAAAAAGAAATGACATTACCGTTGGAATTATTGGGAATGATCAGGAAGGGTTACCTTGAAGGAACCAGAGCGCCCTGTTCCCATTTTGAGCTGGAACCACTGGTCGCCTGCTATGATAATTGGATTCTATGATTGCTTGAATTCCCCTCATTGCTTCATTCGACAGGTGCATTCACTGGCCCTAGTGAAAGTCTGCCGCTGTAGGTTTGATACTTGCAGAGATGTGTCAGCTTACCAGCTCCTTCCAAGGAGTGCACAAAAATCCTCAACAAAATGTGAAATATGGCGCACCATAAATACTCGAGCATTGAATACATCCTAGGAACGACCTGGCCCTCTGGGTTTGCATAAACAGAAGTTGTATGGAACACTTTCCATCCAGGAAAGCGCATGCTTTGCCGGTAACATCCAGTAACCATTTCGTAGCCCAAGCCGAACCCATCTCATCTTTACCCTGAAAGAAGTTTAATGCCGCCCGTGTGTTCATGATGTTTTTGTAGAACTCACCTAGAGTTGAGTTTCAAGAAATGGATGCACGCAGCAAGCGGCAGTTGCTTGAAACAAAAAGGGGGCTCTGTTCAAACTAGGAAACAGCTCTGCGGTGCTCATCTCAAGCGCCGGAGATCAGGACCAAGCCTCTACCGTGTAACCTCAGTACCAGTCAGCTCGGGACCGTCGAATGGCGGCAAGATCGGCGGAAAGGTCCAGATGTTCCCCAAAAGACTGGGTGGGCACGGAGAGAATCTGCATGGGCCAGGCCACACATTGACCTCCCACCATCTCAAAAGAGGGGATGGAAGACTTCAGGGAGTTTGGATGAGGACATTCTTTATTGTCAGACCTTGGATGCTTCCCAACCCCACAAAGATGATGACGCCAAGCCGTTGTCCAGTGTCGCAATCCACGAGTGGCAATCCTTCACTGATGGCGGAGCGTAGGCAACTCCAAATGTTGCCCTAAGGCCCCGGGAGTGATTTGAGATAAGTTTACGAAGAGGAACCCCTGCAGCCAAGAGCGATTGAGAGCTTTACCAGAATCAGTCACCAGCCAGGTTTCCAGAGTCTTAGACCACTTGATGACCTTTGCTCTCCTGTTCATCCGTGGTCACCATATGCTCTATGTCACTCTTCAAAAACATCCACGTACCAAACAGTTCTACTCCCCAAAACAATTATTCAAACATGTGCTTGGCGAAGACTGACGAAACCACTCTTTCTGCTCCAAATTCATACACCGACACTTTCGAGGAAAAACGAGTCGGCCCACTTCCAAACCACCAAATGATACCAAACAGACTTCGGCCCAGTCCGTCCAGGTGCAGAGTCCGCTCCAGAGACTTGAGATGACTCGATGATTTTCGAGTTTCGCCCGAGGGACGGCCCTCCATCTTCAGGTTCGAGAGGATGGCCTCCGCCTCATCCTCATTCACCCGCTCGTTCGCCATCATCACCTGCGCTCGTCTTGCGTACGCAGCACCCAGACATCAGCGCAGCTGAAAAACACTGCGGGCAGGAAATCACCCGCCCAACTCGTCCTCGCAGGGTTTGGAAAGGGTTTAGATGCAGGTCGTTTGCTCCAATCCGATCTCGGGTGGATTGGAAGCTACCTGCGACCTCGGACCCCGGGGTTGGTGAGTTGATCGATGGGTTTTTTTCAAAGGATGTGTTTTTTCATACGCTTTGATCCACACCGGTAGGATTGGATTTGAAGCAGTGAGTGTTCGCAAATGTGTTTTGAGAAACAGTGCAATATGAAGCGTAATATGAAGCGTCAAAAGCTTGCAAGAACCGTCAAGAGTCCTGAGCCAATGGCTGTTCACACTATGTCTGTGTATCTGTATATGTCTCTGTTATTTCTAGTGGCAACAAAGAGGCACACGTTCATGATCAACCACATGTAGAAACCCCCACTCCGACCAGCATCCCATAAAAGTTCTTTGGTGTTTGGAATGTCTGCCCACGTCACGTCAAATGTATCTTCCAGCTTGCCTATGGTGACCCCAAACAAATCAAACAAATTGACAGAGGAATCAGCGGAACAATGTCCAATCAGTTGAGGTGAAGCTGGCAATTGGCCACGCAAACCAGTCAAAAGTATTCAAAAAGCTGACGTCAACACACGTTTCGCAGGTTCACGTGCCGGAATGACTCCGGCGAAGCCGGCGCAGCCAGAAAAGTATAAAGTATCCAAATGCTGCTGAGCCCCTGAAAACGTGGGAGATTGAAGGGCATGAAAAAGGGCTAGCCCCCCGGCTTGAACTGATGCCACCACCTGGATTTTCCCGATCTACCCCTCTCCCTCTGCACACTCGGCCTCCTTCATGGCAGTGTAGATGTCCTGATGATGTGTTCGTTGGACAAAGCCACTTAGGTTTGGGTTGGTTTTGAGTGCTTGGTTTTGAGTGCCGAAGCTAGATGTTTGGACAACAAGGTGGATGACATCATCTTCTGACTCTGGACGGCATCCTTCCTTCGACCGTCAAAGAAGCCAGACTGAAAACATGAGGACGTCATCAACCATTCATATCCCGTGTCTGATTTCAAGGGGCGTCAAATCAATATCAGTCACTTGAGAGGAGGGGGACACGAAAGGTAGGACAGCGGGAAAAGAAGAGAACGCGAGAGGCAAGAACAAAAATGCAATGTTCGACATGGTATTTATCCCCTCGGAGGCGACCTTTAATATGCACTCTAAATGTTCAAACATATGCTCTCGAAATGTTCAAAAAGGTTCTTAGGAAAACAAACTTGCCCCATGGCTCAGATCATCGGTGAGCATTGAATCGGAGCATCATAGGATTTGAACTATCCTGAAACCATAAGAGGCTCACGAAGACGTTCCCCAGGAGAGAGTTGACGTGCTTCACAAAACAAACTCTAGGTATGTATCCCCTCGGGGAACACCTTTCGTGATTAGAATTTCATATGCACTCTTTCTGAATGTTCAAGAGGGTTTCAACTCTCCTGAAATCATGAGAGAGAGAATTGAATTTAGAGAGGGGGGGGGTCTGTATTGAAAAATCAATTCCAAGGGGGCGGGGGGGGGGTTGAATTGAATGATCAATTATTAGACCCGGACGCGCCAACACTTGCTTCGCAAGACAAACTCAAGGTATCCCCTAAAGGGCTACCTTTCGTGATATCAATATCTTGCCCCAAGGAAAACCATCTTCACAACTCACTTCTAGACTCAGCATGGACTTCCAACGTGCCAGGGCACATCGTGCCAGGGCGTGTGTAGGGATCTTTCAGGGTGATCCTCGTATTCGGTATTGAGACAGTTCTGAGGCGAGCGAGGTTCCTCGCTGTTTGCTTTCGGGAGGACTGCAGAAGAGCTCCAGAATGGTCGGGAGATAGCGTGGTAGCTTTAAGTCACAGGACGGTCCGTGCTCTCATCACCTGAGCTGAGTGTTCTTTGACGGGGTTCTTAGATTGTTGCTCGGATCACCCCAAATGAGCCCATGACCCATGAAAAACATCATGGAATATCCATCCTCAAAGAAACCTGACCTAACCTGATGGCTTCGCAAGAAATGGTTGCTTGGCCAACCTGAACTCGTTCCTCCCTCCCCCAGAGTTCGACAGATTGGAACCATGAGAGATTGGAACCCAGATTCATGATCAATGCGATGGATGGTTGCGGGGTCACAGTACCTCCGCGGGTCATGAACCATCATTCGTCACAGAGAATGAGAAAATCATAGAAAATCAAACCTCTCTCTCACTCTCTCTCTCCCAAAAATGAGCTCCCTCCCCTCGGCGACCATGTCCTCCCTTTCCGCCCTCTCCGCACCTCAGGGACTTGTCGCGCAGAGCCGCACACGTAGAAGTGACCCTCCTGCTTCAGCATGCACTGGTGGACAGCCTCCCCGGCCTGGTCAGATGGAGAGTGTGCTACGTGCCGTTGGAGGCCACGCGATGCGGCTTTGCTTCGGAACCAGTCGGCCGGTGGTCGAAAGCCGGTTGGGGAAAGGGAGGGTTCCAAGTCAGGTGGCATCAAACCTGCCATGTTGGTTCCAAGTCCTTTGGCACAACAGCTGAGTCCCACGAGTCCAAAGGATCTTGCGAAAGCCGCCGCATCACCTCGGCTAGGCGGCCTATAGGCATAGTAGGCCTATAGGCATAGGCCATTGTGGCGTAGCAAAGTGCAGCGCCGTGCAGGGCTTTGGAAGCTTCGCTTGCGCCAAACCCCTGCATGTTGGTCATAAGTCATATAAGTTAACTTCTGGTTTCTGGTAAGTTTCAGCCTGAAAATGTTCGATATATTATATTCACATTGGTCAAACACAAACTGTTGGGTGCCACGGTGCCCTCCAGGAATTTCCATTAATTAATGTGCCCAACTCCCAACCTGACAAATGAAAAACATCACCAAACTCTGGTCTTCATGTGTGAACCACCTGACTTAGTAAAACAAATGTAAAGCAGTTGCCTCCACAATCTTGTGCTGCACATAGATCTTGCGCGCCTGGTTTCGCGGAAGCCGGAAGACTGGGAAACGCATCCCAGTTCGAGACTTGGGCAAGGGTGCAACCAAAACCCCAATATTGAGAAAGGAGTGAAACCCTGAAAAACAAGGAGGTGGTGTCACCCCAAGAAAGGTGGTTCAAGGACCATGTGAGAGAAAGACCGTCAAAGGTGTCAGAACAGGCCATCCATGCAATTCCTTTCGAACAGGTCAAAACCAATGAACTGAAGGGACTCCCAACCACGGTGTTGATCTATTCCTATTTTCCTAATGAGTCGTTTTCCTTTCGTCCTCGCTGTCCAGCCAAAAGTGTCCAGGCCACGCGGCCGAAGAAACACCGTTTTTCCTGTGGAGCCCACGACTCACAAAACCCTCGTCGCGTCGAGTCCAACGTGGTCATCCAACGTGGTCGTTCGTCCGTCACGATCCGTCCGCGTCTTCGGTCCGCCTTCGGCACCGGTTCCGGCGACCGAAGGTCCGTGCCGCGGAGCGAGCACCGCGGTCGAGCTCCGAAGGTCTCGGCGGAAGTCTGCACCTGCTCACGCGAGAAGGCCGTGTGCATGGAGAGGACACCTTCCTTGATGTAGCTCTCAAACTCATCCTTGTAGAGGTACTCCTCAAATCGGCGCTGCGAGTGGAGGATGGCCTTAGATCTCGTGGGGGGAGGCTGAACAAGTGAAACTAGACCTACTGACTGAAGGTGACTGAGACTGTTTGATGCTTTCGGTGGGTTTGGCAGGCACCGCTTCACACTCTATTTTTCACTGGTTTCACGATCACAGAAACGCGCTATGTTGCGCAACAGGTTGCACGTTCGTCTAAAGTGGGGTCAACACAACTCTTTTGTAGTTTAGCTGTATATCTTACAGGGCCGATCCCCTCTCCCACCGCTTCGACTACCCTCGACTCCCGGTCTCCGCGTTGTAGCGGGCGCCGAAGAAGAGGTGGCAGGGGCCCACTTTGAGGCCTTGTCGATTTTGACAAACACGCTCCTGGTCGAAAACCAATGCAAAGAGCCACGCGAAACACATGTATACATATATAGACAGTAACGCAGTGGGATATCTTTCAAGTCTGGTGCCAGCAAGGGTTTGAGGTGAGCTTCTCCCATGATCTTATCAGAAATGGATGTGATGCTGCAAAACTCGGATCCAGGAAGAAAACGACATGTATCACTGCATTGGTGATGATGCTGGTCTCATGAACCATCTTCAGACGACGAAAGTTTTTTTGGACTCCCATTTCAGAAACGGACTTGATCCAGGAAAGCCTGGTTCCTCAGCACCAGGTGGAAGTCAATTCGATCGTGGCACCGGAGCTGCCTTCCGTCACCGCAAGGAGAAACTGAAGCATCTCTCTCTCTCTCTCTGCCTTCCCCACGTTCAACCTATGGGCGCATGCTCCCCCCTCGTCCTGTGTGACGGCGCGCCATGGAGCAAGACCAGTGCCCATGCCCGCCATGATCACCGGCTTGCTTGGATCCTGGCGTCCGTCCCCCGCGGGGCGCTTCGCACCCGCCGAACACGGCCGGACGGTGGAGCCGGAACGCCGCGAGGATCGGGTCCGGGGGGAAGAGTTCGGGTTCGGTGATCCACTGAGTCATCGAAATCACCCCGCCCCGTGACCTCCAAGCATGGAAGCATGGAAGTTCCCGCTTTCTTCAAGCCAAAGTCACCAGACTGAGTCACACCAGACTGGTTTTCCAAAAAAGATACAAAGAACAAAAGGATACAAAAGGCATTAACAAAAGCAGCAAGCACAAGAAAAAGCATGTTCAGAAATTCTCCAGCCTTTGGCAAGACAATGGCACTCTGCCGGACGGCGCACATCATGGTGGCGCCCGGCTTCTGCTGTCGCATGTAGCCTGTCGACCGGACCAAGACCTCCGAGAGTCTCAGTGATTTACTTGGAGGAGTTGGTTCCCTGGACTGACTCGAGCTACCGGCGCCCGACCAACGGTTGTCAGAAGGTCCAAAAGAAAGGCCCTGTTTTTCTGGCGAGCCAAGTTGGGTCCGGTCTCGACCAGTTCCAGCCCTTGATCAACAAGCCACCCTGAGCCACCCGAGAGTCCGGGCGAGACGCCTCGCCTGTGCATTCGCCCAGACGAAGCTCTTTGGTGCTCTCGACCGTCCAGTCCACCAACACCACGCACAGCCTGACGCAGACGCAGGCTCTCCGTTGATCCCTTCGGGCACGACACATCAAATTCCTAGGGGTTAGGGTTTTGAAACCCTAAGGTCCAAAGCCAGGGCTTTCAAACCCTAAGGTTTTTAGGGGTTCGGGTTGGTGTTTATGTGAACGTTTCGAGTCCCACTGGCTGCCGACCAACAGTGGCAAAAAACGTGGAGTGTTGCCTGTTTGGTGGCCAGACACAGGCACCAGAACTGCTCTGAAGATCTCTGAAACAACTAAGGGTTACTTAGAGCATGTCTTTAGTAACTAATGACACTGTGAAGACCACTTGTTCTGGTGGTGGGTCTTTCTACAATGTCATTGCGAATCTGCGAATGAACCCACGGTGGAAAGAAAGACCCACCACCTTCGCTCGGTAATCCGGCAATGCTCCTGAACCCCATAACAAAGAGAACGGGCATGGAGCCCCTTTGCGTCTTTGTCAGGGCAGGGACAATATGTTCCACTTTCGGAGAATCTTCCATCAGAAATTGCAACGCCACTGAATGCAGAAAAAAAACACTACCCTGTGATGGCCTTTCCATCTCGGTCTTCACCTCTGTTTTCACCTCTCCTCTTACTTGTGACGACGACACTTTTTCGAGAAATCGATTACTCCCGAACTCGGCAATTGGTGTCAAGCCCCCTCCGAAAGGAAAATGGATCAAAAAACCCTTTGGGCCTAAAATGCCCCACGCACAAGGCACAGGTCCCAAAAGAAAAACTCATCAACGCTTCCTCTATCTGCGGGACAAGTAAAACCGCGGGGAACTTGAGAGTGATAAGCCAACTCAGCACTTAATCGTTCAACATTCCTGGCCAGTCAGCCAGTCTGCAAGCTCAATTTTTCCTCTTGCAGTAGTCTACTTTCTTGAACTGCTTTGAAAAGATAGGAACTCCAGGGCAACTGCTATCTAGCAGTGAGTGTTCTTGCGGAAAAGAGTTCCCGTCGCGCATGAGGTCTTTTCCATTACCAAAACCCTTGAAAAGAGTAGCCAAGGGTGCTTGGCCCGCTGGTGTCGACACCTTCTTGTGAGAATGCCCCGACAGGAGGCCGAGGCCTCAGGTCCAACGAACGACCAGTCATACCCAGTCATATCTTTCAGCAAGCGCGTAGAAGCGGTCCTTTTCGGTCGTTCCCTTGCAGCCAGTCCCGCAAACCAAGCAGCTGGATCTTGTCCGCGTGCATCAACGGTGAACTGGCAATGGAGTAGCCTGGGCACGGCGACAAGCTCGGCCATCAGCGATCGCCGTGCCTTTTGGTTGGTGAAGTGAGAAGTAAAAACATTCTCCACGCTAAGGTCAGCCTGAAAAATCTGAATTCACAGACCCCAACAAAAGTGTCAGCAACGGCTTTTTTGTGTATATATATATAGTTATACAGTAATCACAACCAAAACTGTTCTCAGAATCACTGGCGCTACTTGTGCCACGAATTTTCGTGATCTGCACCAACCAGCCACCGGGTTGCACCAGGCTTGCACCGATTCCTCCTCGCAGAGGGCTCGGATCTACTTCAGTGAGCCGAGCAGTGGGGGCTCTGTGCTCTGCGCACTTGGCTTCGTTCGGCCTCACTAGGAGCTGACGGACCCTGATTAGGAGCTGATGGAACTGCGAGCTGCGACTCCACGGTGCCGCTGCATCCAAAACACTGCGGGGCTTCAGGACAGGGATCATGTTCAACAATTGCTCGATGGGTGGCCGCGCGCTCTTGAACCTGGGCGGGTGGTTGCTGGGAGTAAAAGCTTGTGGAGTAAAAGAGCTTGTGGCCTCGGCCTCGGCGCTAATGGAGTGATATAGTCATTCTGGAGTATATATAGAATTCCGGGGAATCCATATCTATACTCCAAGAATCTCCAAGATGGTCAACGTTGCGCATGTGATCAGAAACCATCATTGTATCTTGCTGTATTTTTAAGGATGGTGGCAAGCCAAACATGTGTAAACAGTGGAGAAAAGGCAAAGCGAAATATGTGTCTTGCCATGTGCAAACAGTGCCGCTTCTAGGTGTCAACTGCTTTCCATGTCATGTCATCGGGCGGAGCAAACGCGAACTTGTTTTGGGATAGAACGGACTGGATTGGCAACATCGGCAAGGGACTCTGTGTCACCCAGACACAGCAACTTGCTTTTTAATGATCGGGAGTAGCAATCTCAAACAACTACTGTGTCTCTTGTGTGATCCATTGCCCCCCCCGTGCCACCCTCGTGCCTCGATGCCGGGAGGCCCTCTGAATACCTATGGTGAAGTCTAACTGCCTGCTCCTGATAGTACTGAAACAGTGTCTTGGAAGATGACGGCGGAAGTCCAATGACAAAAATACTTGCTAAGCGTCGCCGCTACCTTTCTGGGTTTGCTGATCAAATGCTGTACTGTAATTATACGTGTTCAATCTTTTTCCTATCGATACCTAAGCTAAGGATGCTCCTAGGCTCAAAAAGTTGCAATCCTCTACCATCCACATTGTTCTATCCTCCCCAACAAGCTGAACCTCACAACCTCCACCTCCTCACGTGCCCTCAACAGTTTCTTGTCACTCGTCCGAGGAGCTTCTTGAAGACGTCCGCGTGGTGTGCAAAGTCGTGGGTCAAGTCTCGGTACAACGCCTGGCCCTCGGCGTTGTTCTCCACCACGCTCTGCAATGCCTTCTTGTCGGCCTCATCCTGGAGATGCAGACTGATGCAAACGAGGTGGAAGAAAAGGTGAGTATGGTGCCAAGCACCAGGGTTGAGAGAAGAGACAAGAAGCCAGCAGCGAGGGTCGAGGATGAAAAAAACGGGTAAGGTGTTATCTCCTCTACGTTTTTCAGGGTGAATTGTAGAAGGAAGGCCAGCATGCCTCCCTAACCATCCAACGTCAGTTCGAAGTAGCCGCGAACACAGGAAAAAGAACAGAAATGAACAGAATAAGTCCTCTTGAGGATGTTGTCTCAAACAGCGGATCCCTGAAAAAAGAGAAACCAAAAGGAACCGTCCTGACCGAAGCCTCTATCACCCGGTCTCCCCGGCTACCCATCCGGAACCAGCCTTGGCAAAGAAGGAGAGCGTCTCGAAGAACTTCCGGTTGGGCTTGCCAAAGATATCCAGCACGTGGCTGAACAATTGCCGTACCGAGAGCTCTTGCGGGCACCAGTTGCGTGCACCTGCGGGTTGAGCACGGGGTACAGACACTAGTGGCTACAGCATATTGGCCGGCTGAATCAGCACGGCACTCTTTACAGGGTCACAAGGCAGGCTCCACAAGCTCCGCATCTCTTCCAATCGAAGACTCCGACGACGGCGTCCTCGCTCCGGCAGGCACCTTCCATGGGCAAAACCCGCAAGTTCTGCGTGGCGTCGAAACCCATCTCCTTGCAGAACTCCTGTGGAGGCGTCCAGAGACTTTCGCCGCCGGGGAGTCTCGATCGAACAGACGCAGAATCCGTTTCGTCGTTTTGGGTGAATGGCTTCCTGTTCAGATCTCAGGATGAGACTGCACAAGTCAGGCAGTACTGTGGTGCTGCCAGACTCCGCTCGGGTGAAAATGGTGAAACCGTTCTCAGTCTCGGCACACCCCACCCTCAAACGATGAAAGCCGCCCGTTTTCACCAGGAAACTTCAGAAAACTCTCAAGCACTCGACTGAAACAACGCCCACCTCAAACACAGGAGACCAACACCCAGGAGACCTCCCCAAGCCTCTCGACCTCCCCTGGCCTCCACTTTGTCAAAGGGGTTCCGTGGCCAAACGGCCAGGGAATCACCCGTCTTGTAGCTCACTGGCGTTCCCTCAATCCTTAGGGTCCAGACTTCCACGAGGGACATGAGAGCCCAGAGCCGGGCCATGGGAGCCCATACTCCGAAGAAATCTCTGGACTCATCTCCGCGTAGGTCGAAAATCATCGAAGATCTGTAGGTTGCAACAGTAGTATTTTGGTGTCCTCCTACTCTCTACTGCATAGATCACTGCAGGGGTTCATCCCTGAGTCGAAGAGTGACCAGTAAGATTCCATCGATTTTGCGGTCTTTGGCTTCGAGAAAGTGCCAGTCTTTTTTGTTCCTGCTCGCAGTCACTTTGCATCCACCACGAAAACCGAAGCTCTGGCCCTAGCCCACCCCCACGAAGGCAGATGCAGACGTGAGAGTGAACCCCCCCCAACTTCGTTTCAAGGAGCTTGAACTCATAGTGCCTGAGCAGCGTTGACAAGTCTGGGGAGTTCGGAGAGTCGGGTTGACGCTTGGACAACATCTTCACCACTACGACTGGGAAGAGCTTGAATAGAGAATCTGCAATCAATGAGCAAATACACACAGGCACCCCCAGGGCGTTGTCTTCAACCTGATGGCAAGCCACCGAGTAATGAGTTCAAAACGCTGCACCAAAGAACTGTCAGAAAGGAAGCTTGGAAGTCTTTGTAAGCCCTCGGGCTACAGGGTTTGTAGCTTCTTGCTACTACTAGTAATCCCCTTTGCCTCTAGTAGTTTCTTGCTACTAGTAGCGATGCACCTGTTCCTAATAGCGATGCCCGTGTTACTAGTACGAGGTGCTTTGTCAGACTGCCAAAAGCATTTTAGGCAAACCCTCGAAGTGCTGCATTTCACCACCTCTGCTACGCACCCACAAGACTGCAGAGTGGACACGGAGACCGCAGTGTTGTTCTGATGAATTCGGTAGAGGTGTTCACTGATGTTCAATGCAGGTTTACCAAGTGTTTCCCATTTTGTCCATTGGTTACTTCCCGATCAGCATCCTCAATACACGGTTGTGTGTCAAAACAGGGAGACCTCCCAAAGACTCCCTGGAAGAAAGCCAATAGACTCAATAGACCAGTCTACCCATTGGTTGGGGGTCTCCCTATCCCAAACACACCCACATAGATTCCAGCCCACCACGCACGTCACTCTGCACATCTCCACACATCTCCACACATCGCGCACCTGATGTCGCGATCGTACTTCTCCGGCACCAGCAGGGAGTTGTGCAGCAGGGTGAGCTTCGCGGCGCCCGGCGGCACGATGTCATCGTCGCTGATGGGAGGCTTGCCGCTGCCGCCTGGGCCGTGGTGTTGCCGCTGCCAGCGGCTCAAGAATAGGGTCTCTCCCCAACTTCCCCAAAGCTGCAGGCCCTGGTACAATGGAGGACAATGACCAAAAGGCAGATCCCAGGGTCTTCATATGGTTGGTTTCCAAAATGTCTTTTCCCAAAATGGTGCACTCATCGCAATTCCATGGGGGCCCGCTTCTTAATCTCTTTTAAACTCCTACCACACTCAAACCACAGGGATGTTCAATATGAAGGCATGTCAACTGCAAAAACTGTGAGAGGTGTCTAGCGCGGACCTTTTCAGGGGCCTGTTGAGCTGCTGGAGCTGTTGTTGTTGTTGTTGCTGCCACTGCTGCTGCTAGACTTCTGCAGTTGTTTCCAAGTCTCAGAAGTTTTCAGAACGACATAGGAAGGACGTAAGAGCTGACTCAAAACATTTAGGTGTTGGATGGGGCAGGTGAAGAAATGGACCGTCGTCTAGCGCGGTGCTAGCGCAGATCTAGCGCGGTGCTAGCGCAAAAATCTCCGTCGATTTTCATCCTGTCAGGTTCTTAGTTTTCCTGCTTGCTTGTCTTCTTCTTGTTGTGCATTATTATTCTTATTCTTCTTGTCTTCTTCTTATTATTGTTATTATATTATTCCTCTTCTTCTTCTTCTTCCTTCTTCTTCTTCTTATTCTTCTTTGTTTTTCCTTTTTCTTGTCTTGCTTCTTCTTTTTCCTGCTCTCTGCTTGTTTATTCTTTGCTTATCCTGTTATGAATAGACCTAGCGCCAATCTAGCGCTGCCTTGCTGTATCACCATAGTCTGCTGGGGGCCCGCTTCTAAACGAAGACTTAAAACACATCTCCAACCCTAAAAAGTTTACGTTTACAGTATCTATATTTTTTGAGTAGAGCTTTTTGAGCGCAGTCCATATGCGGAGATCACTGGATCTTTATCTCATGGTGCTTTGGATGAGCTCTTGGATTGGGTGAGTGGTGTGTGAAAACACACTGTCTATCCTTCCGCCGGACGGATGGGCCCCTTGAACACACGCGACTCCCAGGAAGGTGCCATGCGACGCCAGTCACATCAGGGGTGCCGGGATGATGTGCCATGCGAGGTCGACCAGAAAAAACCCTAAGACAAACAAAAGAAACAAGAAGGCGCAATCAAGCACACAGCAAAACGGGAAAAGACCACCCAAAAACTAAAAAGGATCAGGGATAATAAGTAGGTCGATGTGTGAGCTGAATCTAGTGAATAGCGATTGTGCTGTCACTGCTGCACTTGATATCAAATTCGATGTTTCACATATGAGATGTTTTCGATCTGGTCTCCGATCGTCCAATCGAAATGGCCGGGCATGGCGTGCGGAAGCATCGACGGAATCACGCGGTTCCGCATCGCTGCGGAAGACGAGTCGTCTGGTGCGACTGCTGTGAGTACGCGATTTAATTGGCGAAAATGATCTGGTTGACCTGCCACCAATCACCATGCGCAGGGACTACCTACTGTATCGGGGAGGTTAAGGGTTCCGATTTTATGCGGGTTTCAACTACTTGAGATGGCAGCAATGGCTTGGTTTGCACGGAAGAAGAGTGACTGGTTTCACTTAAGGGCACTGTTTTCTTAGGCTCTCGGGGAAACATATCCACAACTCTGAACATCTTTTTGTGTGACATCAGCATCTCTCCTCATCACTCATCGTATAGCGTCGGACTGAAAGATAGAATGCTTGAAAAAAGATAGTTTTGGAAAAATCGGGTGGTAGGTTTCGATAGATTTCAATCTAATAAAGTCTGGGAAAGTTAGAATGTACAGATTGGCAGCTCAAGTTGGAATGCCTGCAGTCTGGGAAAGTGGTCAACATGCAGCTGCAAGGATTCAAATAGTTTGGCATTCTATCTTTCAGTCGGACGACTGCAAGCTTCGGCCACGTTCTTCTGCCACATGCAGGGCTGTGGCACCACCTCTGGTGACGAATCGGTCAAGGCCACTCTTCAACAGCACCGACGTGGCCATTGCCAGCTGCCAAGTGTAAAGCTGTGCCCTCTTCCGTGGTGGCATCGTCGACGGCGCCACTCTTCAGCAGCAGGTTGTACCATTTCCGGGTAACCTTTTCCAGCTGCAACATGCAAAGCTGTTGAGCCATCTGACCTAGCAGCATCTTTGTCAACACCAAAGGAATTTGGCTGCCTTGTTTGTGATTTGGATCATGTAGCGCCTGAAGAATATGTTCAATCTCAATCAAACGATTCTGAGCACAGGCAGAAACAAAGGCTTGGTCTGTGACTGCATCCGGGGGTTGGAGCCCCAAGATGACCAACTGCACACTGGAGGGGATGGAGGGAGCATTGTCACACAGCTCGACCGTGTCTTGCAAGAGTCTCTGCCGAAATCTGGAGTACCCAAGCTGAGCTGCAAGGAATTTCTTCAGTGCATTGACAGGCTTGCTGCTTGCAGCAATGTATTCCAGCTCCTCACCCTGAAGCTTTGCGACAAGTTCACCGGACAGGTATTTTCATCCGCACCGAATGGACACGTCCCGGTGCGGACCTAGATCGATTCTTTCGTGCCAAACGCACGCGGAAAATGCGCAAAACAGGTGCATCGCAAGTGCAAGTATCTTCTATAGCATCTTCTACGGAACTGTCAGCTCATCTTCTTCGAATCTAGTAGCATTCGGACCCTATTAGGTGGAGGCCATCGCTACTAGTAACAAGAAGCTGGACCAAAAACTCGACCAGCTAAAAATAGCCCCCCGGGCCCCCCAGCTGACGTCCACGCGATAGCAAGGCGCAGGCGCCTCCTGCCACAGGAGAAGGTGGATGATCATGCATAGACAATCTGACTCGCTGTGGTATAAATGTTGGTATGTGCATGATCATTGTATGAATGTTGGCAGGAGGCGCCTGTCTGTGGGCAGGAGGTGCATGTTGGCATGTTGGTATGTGCATGATAGATTAATGTCATTCCTTATATGTTGGTATGTGTGCATGGGCCTCAGAAGAGGCCCCACACGGTTGCTCCAGAGTAAGCGTCCCGAACTATATATATAATTAATCTCGAACTATATATAAGATATGGTCTTGAACTATCTATAGAATGCCTTGTTGTGTCTGCCTTCTACCAGAGAGATGGATCAGGCTTTGATTTCATATAATGTATATGGTCTATTGATGTCTATTGTATTAATATATATATAGTCTATAGTAATATGGTAGAACTTGATAGAACTTGTATCATATGAATGTGGATATGTATGATATAGATTGATGATGATTGATGTAAAATGAGTACAATCTTTCCCAACCGTCAAGCGCTGGCAAGGAGACTTTAAGCCCAGCTGGTCCTCGCGGCATCCGCGAAAAGATGGTCTGGCTGCGCATTTGAAGACAGATCAAAAGAAGCATCCACAGGCGTACAGCCACTTGGAGCGGATGTTGTGTTCTAAACAATTCTCAGTCTGACTCCACACCAAAACTGGAACCCCGTGAACCCCAAAATGTCCCAAGAAGCCTCCTCCCCCTCACTTCGATCAGCCATGGCGCACCGCATCATCGCGCCTGTGAGAGTGGCATCTGTGGGAGGCCCATGACCTTCCAAAGCTCTGGCAGCCATGCCTCCCAGCCGGTGTAGTAGCGGTCCTTGCAGGAAACACCCAGCAAGTCTTGGACAAAAAGAACGCCTTCAGGTTGGACTGCATGGTGCGGTGGAAGGTTTGTGCATCCGCAAGCGGCGTGCGAGCATGTTTCGGAGGTCGTTACAGAACGGCTGGTTTGGTCGGGTCATTCTTTCTTCGCATCACTCGTTCAAGTGTGACATGCTGAACCAAGGCTCGCCGCCTCCACCAGCCTTCCCTGCCCTGCTCCCACTCGAAACGCAACGCCCCGCACGCACGTCCCGGGCCGCCGTCCTCGTCGCGGTCGTCGCCCACGCCGCGCTTCAGGAGGCGTTGGCCGCCCAGCTCGCCGAGGCGCGTGTCGAACTGAATGGCCGCCACGCAGAACTGGCCTGACCAGCATCGCGTGGGTCCGAAACAACGAGTGTACGACTTCTGGGTGGGTTCCCAGCACCTTCTGGACTTCTGGGTGTGTCGCTGGGGTGGTCGACTTCTGTTGGGTTCCTGCCATGAAAAGTGCGGCTTTGCTTCACTCCAGGGCAGTGCTTCACGCCGAGTCGCTGTAGGTGGAGTCGCCCAGCCCGAAGACGGCGAACTTCGTTCCGGAGAGCCAACTCATCGGCAGATCCTGCAGTTTGGCCACCGCGGTGTTGTGAACAAGGTCTACTGCAGGTGGAGTACATCAAGGTTTGCTGCTGTTGAGTGATGTCTGACACACTAATATGGGTAGACTCTGCTCAAAGACTGGCACAAATCTGCATCGACACATAATGCTTGATCTTGAGGAAAGAACCCAAGATGTGGTACAGTATGACTGCGACGAGACTGCGGAGTAAAATGTTTGGAGCTTGCAGCGACCATTCGACAGAATCAGGCAAACCCTCCTGGGACTGGAGTTTCAGCCAGGTCTGCTTGCAGTTGGCTGGGAATTCGCCAAGGCCACAAGTGGACACCACCAAAATCACCTGGGTTCGTCGTTTGCGGCATATTCACCCTCACGCGTAGGGGATACCAGGATACCAAGCGGTTTGGGTCCAAGACCACAGTCTATTCGGATTAGTATATACATACAGTAAGTAAACTACGGGATCCGTCGTGCATTTCATATTACGAAGAAATGATCGCACCCCGTTGAAAAGGAGGCCCCTGGATCTTCAAATTTTGCTCATACTTGGGGAGTCATGTTGAGAAGTGAGCATCTTCATCATTGTTCCCCCACGAATTGAATCTTTCCAGTAAGGGAATACAAACCAGCCAAGATCAAGCAACGAGTGGCGGTTTGTCCAGATTTCTATTGAAGTGTACTGGAAAGTGTGACGCGTTTAAGCGATTTTAGACATTTGTCCAAATTAAATAGCATGCAGCCCTTTGCGGGCATAGTCAAGCAACCCAACTGCAACAGAACGATTAGAATGTCCCCGTACTATGTCCCTTCAAATTCGCTGTAGATTACGTTGATGGACTTTTCAGGTGTTCAGTGTAAACAGGTTCAGCTGGCAGCACCGAACCTGGAATCGGGGCAGGTGCTGAAAAGCAGCAGCTTACTCGCCCAACCATGCGCTAGTAGCGATTTTGGGGCCCAACACGAGGTCTACCTGGCGGTAGTTAACACCCTCTTTCAAAGGGATTCTCCGAGAGTTGCAGGTGTTGGTTGACCACGAATCTCCATGGCGAGCACGATTCCGCCGGTAGACCTACAGGGGTAGCTTATTGTGTGTGACTGTGGGTGATGAGACCAGGGGGACCTTGGTTGACCACGAAATGAACAGAATCGACCATATGCCGCAGCATGAGTATATATAACTGTTTTCAAGCTTCCCACACACTACAAAAGAACATCCCAAATGCCCTGGGAACTTCATGCTGACTGGTGTTCCTTCTCCACATCCCGCGTTGTAATTCCCATGCATGGGACCTGTTTTAGCCGCTTGGTCGGCCAACCCACCAGCTACACTGGATACATGTCCTACTTGCTCCCATCGCGCCCAACCAACCACCTCGCCCTTGAAAACCACGGTCGACCACTTGTTGACCACGACGCGCGACCTTCTCGCTTGGCTCAGACCCAAGGGGCCAACTTCTGGTTCGGCAGCTCCTCGAAGTCGAAATCATCACAGCTGCTCACCTGAGCCTTCAGTCCACGTGCGCGGATGTCCTGCGGGTTTTTGGGGCCCGGCGTGTCGACACGTGCGGACGCCGGTTGGTCCAGTGCCCACGCAGGTCGACACAGCTGGGCCAGTTCCGAGTAGCCTAGCGCAGCCTAGCGCAGCCTGGGACTGGAGTCTTCAGATGTTCTGAGCACCGCTCTTGGCTATAGTCGTTGCACGTTTTGGGCGGTTGCTCATGTCACACGTTTTGGGGGCTCGGCGAAAGGCAGAAGGACCCATCTAGATGAGCCGGAAGGCTGCTGAAAAAGACCACTGGAGAATTTGGGAGCAAGTTCGGTCGTTTTCCAAAGGTTTCTCTCCGTATGTGGGCGACCGGCTAAGACAACAAATCGGTCCGGGAAGCTCATCCAAGCAAGCGTTATCGTTTGACTCCACGGAACTGAGTTATGATCCAGAGCTGTGTAACATGTTCATCCGGATCCCGGATTGTTCAAAGATAGATAGCGGATGCAAGAACATCAAAGGATGAAGACTATTTGGAGATGATGACAACAAGAACATCAAACTAGCTAGCATTTAACCTGCGTTAGCTCGATTGCTCATCCCTATTCTAAGTTATGTGTGTCTCCATACCACCAACCAAAAAAAAGTTCGTGATGTGGAGTAGAATCAAACGCCCAAGCATCCACTGCTTTCAATTGTTCTTTGTCCTTTTCGCGTCGAGTATGTACACCAAAAATATCGCCTTCCCAACCGAGATGACGAAGAAGACCTCCCAAATTCGGGACGTCCTGCATGAGATTCTTCGCCTGCTCCTCGGAGTTACCCGTCTCACTGCCGTACAAGATGGTGACCTGGCGCTATCTGCACTGCAGCTGGGCGAGTGTTCTTCCCGAACTCCCACGAGCTCAGAAGGTACCTATACAAAGCCAGGGACAAAAATGCACAAAAAACCCTGGAAAAAGCGATGGCAGCTATATATTGGTGAGTCGTTTACTTGTTAGAGGCGTTTTGCTCTCACATTCAGGGGGCAGCGCGCTGAAGAGAAATGGATCTTGGAAGAAATCTCGTTCAAAAAACATGCGTCCAGAGCCCAGAGTCATCCAAATTGCCCTTCTAAGGGCCTTAGATTCTGGATATGGCCGGAAAAAAACGTGTCCTCTGCCTGTACAAAGCTCGAGCTGTTGCGATACCAGACATCCCCGGTGTTCCAGACCGAAACAGGAACAAAGCAATCAAAACCGAAACACGGAGAAGTCGGCGGAGGTCACCTGTGTCGGCCAGTCTCAATGTTCCAAGTGTGAGGATGCGGAAACACCAACCAAGCCCTCAGACTTTGTTACTGTAGTATGGAATCTCAACGATGATGTAGAGCATGCTCACATCCCCCCAATGTTTGGGAAATCATGCAATCTGATCCAAGCATCCTGCCAAAGTGTGTCCCTTTTTGCCACCAGTCTTCACTCAGGTCCGCCAGTCGTCGCACCCCACACTGAAACACCGAAAAACCACGCGGAAACCCGCGCCATGTCCGCGGTGGACTTCGCATCGGACAAGCCCTCCACCAACTTGCTAAACTGGCCTGGTTCGCAGCAAGCCCGAGCCAGCCGGGAAGACGATCCGAGCGGATGTGAACATCCTGCGGTGGTGAGAGATAGATTCAGATAGATCATGGTGGAAATGGTGTTGGACAAAGGATTGAAAAGTGACATTCCAAGCGGACGAGGACAAAATATGGGGGGATCGCAGGATTCTGTCGTGAGCAAAAACAACCAAGTCAAGAATGATTGATTGAATGGCATCAACAACCCTCATGCGTGAAGAGTTGTGTCGGACCTCGCCAACCTGAAAGAGAGCCTTGTGACGAAGTGTCTCCCTTGCCATACCTTTCTGGTGATCATCGTACCTCTTTGTGAAACCGGGACGGCAACACCAGCCGTGGCAACGACCCCAGCGGCTGTTTGGTCACATGAGCCAACCCAAGTGTCAAAGACCTTACGTACAGTACTTGCTGAGGCGAGCCCGAGCTGCCTAGCTGCCTAGCTGCCCATGCTGAGGCTGGTATACGAAACCGACCTGAAACCCGACCTGAAACCGACTCCAAACGTCCGACTCCATTCACTCCCTGGGTCCAAGTCGCCACCCGGGTATTGCAATAAAAGCAACATGAAAGCCATGACTGAGTTGCTGGAACCTTGGGGAACCAAGGAATGAACAGGAAAGATCCCACCCACCCAAGCTGCGAAGACTCGCCTTCCAAATCCTCTTTGTTCAAGACCTGAAGATGCATGTCCAAGTACAGTGTCCCATTGGTGGGTGATTCAACAACCTCTCACTGACATGAAACTTTGGCATATGAGTCTTATGACCCAGAAAACAACAGATGTAACGGACATAAGACCCCACGTTGACTGAGTTGAGTTGCAGCTTGTCATGTCGGGAGAAGCCAAACCTCAAGACCGGTCAGGTCAAAGGTCACTGACAGGAACCTGACGCAAAAAGGTGATATCCAAAAAGCCCAAATACACTGTAAACTGCCTCCCAAGGATATCACAAAAATCGCCGTATTACAGTGTAAAATCGCCTTGTTCAAAGCCAACATACCAAAACTTGGAGCCTACCAAAATGTACAAAAAAATGCGCCATTCCCAAGGTTCGGGCGGTTTTAGGTTGTTGACCTCTGCTAGCTAGAGAACTTGAACCCCAAAGAGTAGGCTTCGACATGTTTCTGCTGTGTGCGCACCATTTGACCCAAACTGATCCTCGGTTCATGAAACCAATCTGAGTTCAAGATTGGCAAATCGGTCTGGCGGTTGGCCTTGACTTGAGTCAAAATGCTTTAGCTTTGCTGCCTAAAATCCCTAGTACGACCAAGATTCCCTAAGAATTCGAAGCACCAAACCAATTGACTTGAATTTTGCTGCAGGTCATCTTCCCATCGCTGAGCCAGGCTAAACCAGACGCTCCCCCAAAACCCAATCATCAGTTTCTTGGATCCCCTTCACACGTCACACGGCGGCAAAACCGCCCGCGATCGTTTCCTCGCTCCCTCGGCTTAGACCTCCGAACCCCCCCGGGGGAAGTCTCTCGAAACGCGCCACCCGAAACGAACGCGGACCTGCAAGAGGTGGTTCTTCTGTACCACGGCCTCCTGAAGCTTATCATCCAGCTCCTGCGATGGAGAAGCAAGCTGAAACCCGCCAGGTCGCGGGCGGTTTCTTGCCCGGTGGAACACCTCCGGTCTTGGTGCGTGAAAAAACAGGCGGTTGGAGGCCGTGGACGCGCGAAGATGACTCAGAGTCTATCTATCTTACACATCGATGACTGAATGTGTAAAAGAAAATGAGGACAAGGGAAGTAAGTCTCTGTAAGTACGAAACATCTGAATATATATATATATACCTGGATCCTCCTTTGGGCGAAAAAAGTGCCGGACCTCAATCCGGCAAAATGTTCCGCCGGATTCCGAAAAAAACGCCGGAGACCTGAAAAAACATCGGATCCAAGATTCTGAAAGACAGAGATGATAAAAGGTTGGATCATACACAAGGAAATTGCCTTTGTGCCGCGAATAGTTTTTTCTGGAGCACACTCGAGCCTTCCCGTTCCCATTGCCCTCGCCCATCTTCCGAATGGCCTAAGAGCAGAACCATCACACAATATAAGCAATTTGTGCCCAAGCAAAGACTTCCAAGAAGAAACCAATGAGCATGTGGCAATGAACTCATCTTTCTCTGCAACCGTGTCTCTAAAGTATTTTTTTACAAAGTGGGTTGCTCTCCATGATTTTTTTGCTTCTTTATGTTTCTTTAAAGCTTGCCTCAGGACGGCCCCCCAATAAAGTAGCACTCATGGTTCCTGTCAAAACTCTTCTCTGAAAAACTGTTCAAAGTCAAAGCCTGCAGAAGACTCAGTCCAAAAAAATACGTCGGAGTTACGGGAAATTACGCCGGAGTTACGGGAAATTACGCCGGAGTTACGGCAAATTACGCCGGAGTTACGACGTGCATCGACGTGCTATTTTTTGACAACTCTCTGCAAAACATTGAGATTCTGAACAACACATGTTCCACAGCCCAAAACTTGTCCGGCAGGCTCTGCAAGCCTGCGCAACTAGAACTATATCCCAGCGCCCCGACATCCTGAAACAATGGGAGTACATTTTTGCCTATGCTCTTTCAGCTTAGGTACGCCCACTTGGGTCTTTCAACAGGTGCATCGCACTGTACCGGCTTCATCCGATTTCATTTAGAAGATCACCTGTGAACCATGCTGAAACCGGTGGAATGTGAAAACAGCGGAACAGGCAAACGAGCACACTTTGCAAACAAAATCATTGCATCAGTAGTGGGTTTACCTTCAAAGAAATGCAGACCACAAAGAATGCAAAGCCTTGAGAATCCACATAAAGTGACTTGGAAAACGCGCCGGACCAAATCCAGAAAAACGCCGGAGTTGGAAGTCCGGCGCCGGACCCTGTAAAAGTGCCGGACTGAAGATCTAGGTATACCTAGAACCCATTTGACCTCTGTTTTGATAGGAAAAGACCATGTTTTGACTCCAAAACAGGGGTCACTCAGGTTCTAGGTATATATAAATATATTTATATATCAAAAAAACAAGAAAAATGAAAGGACCTGAACAGAAAACGTTCCCGGAATCAATAACCATCGTTGATCGACCAAAAGCGACCTAATGGTTAATGTGGCCCTCAGATTTATAAACCCCCTAGAATTATGTCTTTTTTTCCCTGCACTGATTTATAAAGGCCCCTAGAATAATGTCTTTTTTTTTTTGGAGGGGTAGTTGTAGTGGATTTTTTTTTTATTGTTATAGTTTACTTTTTCCCTTTTGAATTTGCTGGGATTTGCTTATCTTACAGGCTTTTGGATTGAGATTTCTATTAAACATTTGGAGAGTTCCATTG